ACAAGTATGGTCGTGGAATGTTGTGGTGTGGCAAGAGGTGTGGCTCAGGTCACAAGTATGGTCGTGGAATGTTGTGGTGTGGCAAGAGGTGTGGCTCAGGTCACAAGTATGGTCGTGGAATGTTGTGGTGTGGCAAGAGGTGTGGCTCAGGTCACAAGTATGGTCGTGGAATGTTGTGGTGTGGCAAGAGGTGTGGCTCAGGTCACAAGTATGGTCGTGGAATGTTGTGGTGTGGCAAGAGGTGTGGCTCAGGTCACAAGTATGGTCGTGGAATGTTGTGGTGTGGCAAGAGGTGTGGCTCAGGTCACAAGTATGGTCGTGGAATGTTGTGGTGTGGCAAGAGGTGTGGCTCAGGTCACAAGTATGGTCGTGGAATGTTGTGGTGTGGCAAGAGGTGTGGCTCAGGTCACAAGTATGGTCGTGGAATGTCGTGGTGTGGCAAGAGGTGTGGCTCAGGTCACAAGTATGGTCGTGGAATGTTGTGGTGTGGCAAGAGGTGTGGCTCAGGTCACAAGTATGGTCGTGGAATGTTGTGGTGTGGCAAGAGGTGTGGCTCAGGTCACAAGTATGGTCGTGGAATGTTGTGGTGTGGCAAGAGGTGTGGCTCAGGTCACAAGTATGGTCGTGGAATGTTGTGGTGTGGCAAGAGGTGTGGCTCAGGTCACAAGTATGGTCGTGGCTCAGGTCACAAGTATGGTCGTGGAATGTTGTGGTGTGGCAAGAGGTGTGGCTCAGGTCACAAGTATGGTCGTGGAATGTTGTGGTGTGGCAAGAGGTGTGGCTCAGGTCACAAGTATGGTCGTGGAATGGTGTGGTGTGGCAAGAGGTGTGGCTCAGGTCACAAGTATGGTCGTGGAATGTTGTGGTGTGGCAAGAGGTGTGGCTCAGGTCACAAGTATGGTCGGGGAATGGTGTGGCTCAGGTCACAAGTATGGTCGTGGAATGTTGTGGTGTGGCAAGAGGTGTGGCTCAGGTCACAAGTATGGTCGGGGAATGGTGTGGCTCAGGTCACAAGTATGGTCGGGGAATGGTGTGGCTCAGGTCACAAGTATGGTCGGGGAATGGTGTGGCTCAGGTCACAAGTATGGTCGTGGCTCAGGTCACAAGTATGGTCGTGGCTCAGGTCACAAGTATGGTCGTGGCTCAGGTCACAAGTATGGTCGTGGCTCAGGTCACAAGTATGGTCGTGAAATGTTGTGGTGTGGCAAGAGGTGTGGCTCAGGTCACAAGTATGGTCGTGGAATGTTGTGGTGTGGCAAGAGGTGTGGCTCAGGTCACAAGTATGGTCGTGGAATGTTGTGGTGTGGCAAGAGGTGTGGCTCAGGTCACAAGTATGGTCGTGGAATGTTGTGGTGTGGCAAGAGGTGTGGCTCAGGTCACAAGTATGGTCGTGGAATGTTGTGGTGTGGCAAGAGGTGTGGCTCAGGTCACAAGTATGGTCGTGGAATGTTGTGGTGTGGCAAGAGGTGTGGCTCAGGTCACAAGTATGGTCGTGGAATGTTGTGGTGTGGCAAGAGGTGTGGCTCAGGTCACAAGTATGGTCGTGGAATGTTGTGGTGTGGCAAGAGGTGTGGCTCAGGTCACAAGTATGGTCGTGGAATGTTGTGGTGTGGCAAGAGGTGTGGCTCAGGTCACAAGTATGGTCGTGGAATGTTGTGGTGTGGCAAGAGGTGTGGCTCAGGTCACAAGTATGGTCGTGGAATGTTGTGGTGTGGCAAGAGGTGTGGCTCAGGTCACAAGTATGGTCGTGGAATGTTGTGGTGTGGCAAGAGGTGTGGCTCAGGTCACAAGTATGGTCGTGGAATGTTGTGGTGTGGCAAGAGGTGTGGCTCAGGTCACAAGTATGGTCGTGGAATGTTGTGGTGTGGCAAGAGGTGTGGCTCAGGTCACAAGTATGGTCGTGGAATGTTGTGGTGTGGCAAGAGGTGTGGCTCAGGTCACAAGTATGGTCGTGGAATGTTGTGGTGTGGCAAGAGGTGTGGCTCAGGTCACAAGTATGGTCGTGGAATGTTGTGGTGTGGCAAGAGGTGTGGCTCAGGTCACAAGTATGGTCGTGGAATGTTGTGGTGTGGCAAGAGGTGTGGCTCAGGTCACAAGTATGGTCGTGGAATGTTGTGGTGTGGCAAGAGGTGTGGCTCAGGTCACAAGTATGGTCGTGGAATGTTGTGGTGTGGCAAGAGGTGTGGCTCAGGTCACAAGTATGGTCGTGGAATGTTGTGGTGTGGCAAGAGGTGTGGCTCAGGTCACAAGTATGGTCGTGGAATGTTGTGGTGTGGCAAGAGGTGTGGCTCAGGTCACAAGTATGGTCGTGGAATGTTGTGGTGTGGCAAGAGGTGTGGCTCAGGTCACAAGTATGGTCGTGGAATGTTGTGGTGTGGCAAGAGGTGTGGCTCAGGTCACAAGTATGGTCGTGGAATGTTGTGGTGTGGCAAGAGGTGTGGCTCAGGTCACAAGTATGGTCGTGGAATGTTGTGGTGTGGCAAGAGGTGTGGCTCAGGTCACAAGTATGGTCGTGGAATGTTGTGGTGTGGCAAGAGGTGTGGCTCAGGTCACAAGTATGGTCGTGGAATGTTGTGGTGTGGCAAGAGGTGTGGCTCAGGTCACAAGTATGGTCGTGGAATGTTGTGGTGTGGCAAGAGGTGTGGCTCAGGTCACAAGTATGGTCGTGGAATGTTGTGGTGTGGCAAGAGGTGTGGCTCAGGTCACAAGTATGGTCGTGGAATGTTGTGGTGTGGCAAGAGGTGTGGCTCAGGTCACAAGTATGGTCGTGGAATGTTGTGGTGTGGCAAGAGGTGTGGCTCAGGTCACAAGTATGGTCGTGGAATGCGATAATTCCATAACCACGACACCGTCCAACTGGCCACCAAAGCCTTCGTTTTGTTATGGGGTTGCGCCAAGCCACTTGTGGGCGGAGTGCAGTCTCTCGATGTTACTTAAATAGCCATAATAGCTATGACCCCTCCAGGCCTTGTGAAGGTCTGGCCCCTCCAGGGCTTGTGAAGGTCTGACCCCTCCAGGCCTTGTGAAGGTCTGACCCCTCCAGGCCTTGTGAAGGTCTGCCCCCTCCAGGCCTTGTGAAGGTCTGACCCCTCCAGGCCTTGTGAAGGTCTGGCCCCTCCAGGCCTTGTGAAGGTCTGACCCCTCCAGGCCTTGTGAAGGTATGCCCCCTCCAGGCCTTGTGAAGGTCTGCCCCCTCCAGGCCTTGTGAAGGTCTGACCACTCCTCAGACCTTCACAAGGCCTGGAGGGGGCAGATTTTAATTTGATTTTAATTAATCTTTATAGCGTTTATGGGTGTTTATGCCTTAATATTAATAAATAAACTTAATTTGATGTGTTAGAGTTGGGAGGACTGACTGGTCGTTCCGCGAGCTTCTAACTGAATAGTTTGATCTTAAATTTTGTTTTTTTGTGATATTGATTGAGACAGGAATTCTCAGTAATGGGTTTTATAGTTCAACCTCATTGAAAGACATTCCACAAAGTTCCCAGAATTGTGGATGGTGGCAGCTTCTTTCCCTTCCACTCTCGCTCCTTACATTTCCTTACACCCTCCTTACACCCTCCTTCCTCCCTTTCATCTACCTCCATTTTAATCTTCCTCCTTTACTTCTTTCTTTATCTCCTTCCACTCTGCTGTTTACTTCTTTACTCAACATCTTTCATTTCTCTTTCTAATCTCCCTTTCAAGCTTCAACTTTGTTGCCTTCTTTATTGTCTGCCTCCATTACAATGTTAATTTACTTTCACTTCTTATTGAAGCTCATATCTACTCTCTTCTTATTTGAGCACATGTTTCAAACCATTCTTAGATATTGTGTTGAATTTGTTATTGACGATCATGTGTCATCTCTTATTGAAGTTCTCTTTAACGCTCTTCCGCCAGTCCCACCTTACCCCCTACACCTGTCTGGGGCTGCAGTCCCCCCTTACCTCTACACCTGTCTGGGGCTGCAGTCCCACCTTACCCCTACACCTGTCTGGGGCTGCAGTCCCACCTTACCCCTACACCTGTCTGGGGCTGCAGTCCCACCTTACCCCTACACCTGTCTGGAGCTGCAGTCCCACCTTACCCCTACACCTGTCTGGGGCTGCAGTCCCCCCTTACCTCTACACCTGTCTGGGGCTGCAGTCCCACCTTACCCCTACACCTGTCTGGGGCTGCAGTCCCACCTTACCCCTACACCTGTCTGGGGCTGCAGTCCCACCTTACCCCTACACCTGTCTGGAGCTGCAGTCCCACCTTACCCCTACACCTGTCTGGGGCTGCAGTCCCACCTTACCCCTACACCTGTCTGGGGCTGCAGTCCCACCTTACCTCTACACCTGTCTGGGGCTGCAGTCCCACCTTACCTCTACACCTGTCTGGGGCTGCAGTCCCACCTTACCTCTACACCTGTCTGGGGCTGCAGTCCCACCTTACCCCTACACCTGTCTGGGGCTGCAGTCCCACCTTACCTCTACACGTGTCTGGGGCTGCAGTCCCAACTTACCTCTACACCTGTCTGGGGCTGCAGTCCCACCTTACCCCTACACCTGTCTGGGGCTGCAGTCCCACCTTACCTCTACACCTGTCTGGGGCTGCAGTCCCACCTTACCCCTACACCTGCCTGGCGCTGCAGTCCCCACGTTATCATGGCTTTACTAAGAAAGCCAAGATAATCATAGCAGTTTAGAATAAAAGCTTTAAAAGCTAATATGTATTTGTTATTCACAGCTGTGACTTTGTAATAAGGCGCAGAGCTTGGAGCACCATTAAGTCTGCCAAAAGTGTTGTAGATAATTAATAATCTGTCTTTCTCAGAGTGAAGCAGAATGTATTTCTCCACAAGATGAAATATGATCTGCCATTAATCACCTTTTGATTAAGTGTTGCAACTCTACATCGATAAGGCACTAAAATCATTAAGATTGTGTTTGCACAGAGCAGGAAGAAAATATTTAATAGTTCTTGCCAAAAGTTTGTCAATGATATATGATTCATTGATGGGAATGTTTCAGACTGGCAAAACTACCTGAGGACTCAAGCAGGGAACACGACGACGGTCAACGTTATCAACTGCACCGTAGACTACCTGCTGCGTCTGCAGGAGTCCATCATGGACTTCTACTGGCACTATTCTTCTAAGGAGATCATCGACCCTGCCGGCAAGGCCAACTTCTTCAAGGCTATTGGAGTGGCCAGTCAGGTACCTCTCGCTACTTTCCTTTCCTTTCACAGAGTTTGGATAGTAACATATTACGGGCACCAGTTTAGTTAATTACGCAAGTGAAGGAACTTGATACCATAGACACGCTGGGAGATTAATACAATTATTATAGAGACACATTGCTACGGCCTCACTTAACCAGTAACCGGGTTCTTTACTTATCAAACTGTATATGGAGACTTAGTGCCTCTTACCCGATCCAACCCCGAGTCATAGGTAAGTTATTAAGAACTGGCAGTAATAATCAGTCTAAAGAAAAACGGGGGTAAACAACACTAAACAGAACCATCACCAAGTGTACTTCTTAACAATATACACATATGTACAGCACATAACACAGCAGGTGTTATTGTCATGCAGGAAACTATAAAACTTGAGCAATCTTCTTTCCCGACGAATCCACTTCTATCTTCTATCGTACACCACTCAAGGTACCCTCCCTGAGTCTGTTTCACTAATACTTCACCATCATAGATAAATCACTATCGGTACCGCCTCGCCCACTTGTTCCCACTGAACGTCCTGAGTTCAGGACTGCCCTGTGTGAACTGATTCCTGTCGATCAAGGTACCACCTACATCACTTCTGAAGGGGAAAATATAATTAGTAAGAAACTACATAGATGTCAGTAAGATCACAGCCATGCACCAGGGAACAGAAAATGGGGTCGGGTGTGCTCATCAGATGGCGTTGACATCGTCACACACCACTGAAAAAATGTAATAAAATGTTTTCTATTCAATTCAAAACTGTATTATACTGTTCAAGAAGCTGCAGTACACCGAGTATATGTAAGTGGTCATCTCGGGTACATTATTGGCTCTGACCCACTCAGGTGTTGGTCCGGTGGAGCCAGCGCCACACCTCCACACTGAGCCGCTACTCTCCACACACATCACTCATAATCAATACGATCCTTAGTCCTGGCTGTGTTGCTTCTGACTCTTGTCTTTCTTGGTACATTATTAAAGGTCTAGTGTGCTTAGCATGGCTAGTCTGACTGTGTTATCTTCCCCTCTGTGCTCTTCTGTCTCTGTATCTTGGTGTCTCAAATTGCGTAGTCCATTTTTTTTGTGTACATAGTGTACACCCATAAATGTGAGTACACTATGGTATTTACACCCATAAATGTGAGTACACTATGGTATTTACACCCATAAATGTGAGTACACTATGGTATTTACACCCATAAATGTGAGTACACTATGGTATTTACACCCATAAATGTGAGTACACTATGGTATGTACACCCATAAATGTGAGTACACTATGGTATGTACACCCATAAATCAGTCCATCCTACTGTTTAGATAGTACTAATAGTAACGATGTGCAGCATCGTACATATATTGACGTAATGGACAATTACACAGTAGAATTTGATACTATTAAAGTTAGACAACCATAAAATGTTGTGTATTTATGTTGTTAATAAAACCTATCCTAACTATCCTAGGCTAGGCCTAATACACGCTATCTGAGGCCTAATATTGAATATATATATATATTTATATATGCTATACTAGGCTTAGGAATATTTAAGTTTTGTATTCAGCTTTTATTTTTGGACTGTAAAGTGAATTGTTCCAAATTCTACTATCTAATTGTCCATTACGTCAATATATGTACTGTGGTGCACATAGTTACAAAAAGTACTATCTAAACAGCCATAAATATGTGTAAACTTAGGTATCTTACTATAACCTGTTACTGGGATATGTATTTCGCTGCACGGAATACGGCGTAGGTGTTGAACATGCGTGGGATTGTATTTTAATGTATTGTATTATGGTGCAGGTCTTCAACACGCTGACTGAGGTGATTCAGGGGCCATGTGTGGGCAACCAGCAGACCCTGGCCCACTCTCGTCTGTGGGACGCCGTCGGTGGCTTCCTCTTCCTATTTGCCCACATGCAGGACAAGCTCAGTAAACACTCCTCGCAGGTCGACCTGCTCAAGGAACTCCTTAACCTGCAGAAGGACATGGTTATCATGATGCTGTCTATGCTGGAGGGTAAGCTTAGGCGAGGCTTTCCTTCAAAATCACACTGAACCATAAGAGGTGTTATGCCCATTTTCCAGTTGGGTATTAAGAAAATCCTTGAAGGGATTTTCGAGGATTTTCATGGCTTCATTATATAGTTTCATTACTTACATTTTTCATATTTTTGATAATCTGATACAAGAGAAAGAAAACCTCCACTCTGCTCATGAAGAACAATACACACACATAAACACCCCGCCCATCCTTCAGCTTCTTAAGGTAAATTGTTTTCCATCTGACAGGTAACGTTGTCAACGGGACGATTGGTAAGCAGATGGTGGACACCCTGGTGGAGAGTGCCTCCAACGTCGAGGTGAGAGTGTGTCTCCCTGGGGAGTTGGGGAAGGGAGTGGGGGGAGGGTGAATATCGTGTATGTACACAGCAATTGATCAAGGAAAATATGTGTGCTGTGAAAGGCAGAATGTTAAACATGGTACTGTCAGTCAAAATGTACTTGCTGTAAATTTTTTAACACACTAAAGTTGTTTTATCCAGATAAAATTTATACACAGAAATTATAGTGAAATCTTCAGAAAATCCTCTGAATCATAATATAATTTTTGTATAAAAGTCTTTGTCAAAGCTCTCAAAGTCAGAAAACTCACAATATAAGTAAATTTGTTGTGTGGGTAAAAAACCGAGTTGTTTACCAGTCTCATGTATGATGTTGTGAGTGTAAACAGATACTGGAAATACAGTATAACAGAATTATACATATTATTTTGGGTGTATGTTATACGCGCTGTGTCATTTCAGTCACATCCCGGAACTTAGTGGCATACCCCAGTTTGTATGACAGCGTATGTGATATTTTGAGTCTTTCTTTGTCCCTCGATCACCCTAAATGGTTATATTATGAATAGGTAATGGTTAGCAACGGACTATTTTAATCAACATCATTTATATTGTATAAAAATAATAAGTTTAATGAAAGAACAATGCTTGCATTTCTCATTAGAATTATAAAATTTAATTTTTACGGTCAATATGCAATCATTTTGAAAATTAATAGAAATAAAACATGTTTACTGACTATGTTATTTGTCAATTGATTGTACCAAATTGATATGTGATTACCACAGGAGAGTTATTATAGTCACGACCAGAGCTTACCAACCACCAAGTGGACCTTATCTCTCAACACTCTCAAGACTAAACTAAGCTCTCAGTCCCTAGGTGTGAAAAAATGAAAACTACCTTGAAAATGGTATAGTTAAATTATTACAATCAGTTTGTGTGTTTTTTATCCTTCAAAAGACACACGAAAGTGGAAATATGTTCACTTATTCGTTATATTGTCATTAAATTTCTAATTTAAGCATAAAACATATATATATTTTTTTAGTTTGGATAGCAAGAAGAGGCTGCTGGAAGGTGGCTCCATGGACCTAAGACAAGATGCCCTGCCATTTGTATATCATGGGGCTCATAACTTTCTGAAGTAAATAATCGTTCATTACTCTAATCTGCCTTTACTTCAGCCACAAGTTACAGAGAGCGGCGCCGGTGATGGGAGGCGTGCGTGAAGCAGGCGGTGACGCAGACGGTGACACAGACGCCACTACTACTGCTACATTCCCTCACCCAACACTCAGAAGCTAATATAATCAGTAGTAATCTCTTGTTTATTTATTTCACGAAACAGATGATTCTCCGTTTCTTCAACCTATTCTTGAGGCTGAAAGAAGTGACGTCGTCACCATCATTTATGGTATGCAAAAATCCCCAACCATCTTCTCCAGATCCTGAGGCTGCCTGTCCCCGCCGTCACCAGCCAGACGTGGCCACTACCCCACGGCTCCGCACCACAATACACTCCATTATCTCATACTCGCTCCCCTATTATGCCTAGAAGCTCTTGTTTTAGGTATAATATTGTTTGTAGTCACATGAAAGTCATGGGTAATAAGTTACGAGGAAGAGTGAGATGAGGAGGAGCGTGAGGTGGCCGCTGGTGGTGACTGGTGGGGGGGTCGTAGCCTCGTGTGCCACACGTCAACCATTCTTTATTGACAACTGCAACATTTCAGCCCATTTGATAACACTTTGGTCATGGCACGCTTTCCTTGACCCAAGAGTGTATCTTTCATTTAGTCAATGGCGTGTTGCAGGCACCATTAATCCCAAGCTTTACAGGTTTTTTCCTTGACATTCAATAGATATATATTTCAATTGTCCTTCCCTGTCTAATACAAATATTTGAAGTGTTGTTGATATTATCCTTTGCATCATTGATGATTTTCCTTCCCAGACGTGTCCCTTCATAATACTTGTTTTGCGGGCAGTAAATGCAGTCCATCACAGCATCTACCCCACCCCATCACAGCACCCACCTCATCACAGCACCTACCCTAACCCTTCACCCATTCTGCTTGTACCCGACCTATGCGCACGCAATGACTGCATCGTGTCGCCTTGAACCAGAGAAGTATTGAGAACTGCATACTACAGCACCAGAGATGTATTGTGTATTGCGCATACTACAGCACCAGAGAAGTATGATGTTCTCCATACTACAGTACCAGAGAAGTATGGTGTTCACCATACTACAGCACCAGAGAAGTATGGTGTTCTCCATACTACAGCACCAGAGAAGTATGGTGTTCTGCAGCGCCAGAGAATTTCGCTTCTACTAATAGTAACCACGGGTCCATCTGTACTAGAATGCGACGTGCATTCAGTTATAAAAACCTGGTTCCAGATATTCCTGAAAGAGCTGGACAAGTTTGTCAATCAGTGCTTACTTACAGGACTGATTAATTATTTAATGTATAAACTCAATAGCCTAGTTGACTACTAACCATGGTCTGTGATATAAATATATAATTATGAGGTTCATTAATAAAGTGGTTAATTGCCAGCTACATTATTAAACTCTTTGAGTCGTTGGCTAATGTTCAACACAACGAGATAAGATATTAATATACATGGGACCATTTGTACAGATGTCTCGCGGCTGGTGGCAGATAACGGAGGAATTTTTACACCCACAATTATCAATTATCTCTGTAATGTTTACATTTTTTCCACATCTCGACAATCATATAACTCTTAAATTCACACTTTCGTTTTTCACTTTTTACAATTCTAGCTGATACTGAGGTACTTCGATATGTTCCTTAAACTAAGGGACCTTACCAGTTCAACCACCTTCCAGGTTTGTATAAAGTGGCCAGTGGCCCACACGACTCTTGCCTGGCCTCCCGCCCCGCGCGCTCTTGTTCTCAACCACACTCGTCCCCACAAATACTTTCTATAGTATAGAGAAAATGATACATTTTCTAATGCATGCAACCACTCACCAGCTGCTCATCAAATATGTACACCATCCACTAAATAGTCATCAAACATGCATACCAACCATAAAATTCTCATCAAATATGCACACCAACTACTACACTCTCACCAACCCCTCAGTGAACAGTATACATGCGCACCAACCCCTGAGTGAACAGTATACATGCGCACCAACCCTTGAGTGAACAGTATACACATGCACCAACCCCTGAGTGAACAGTATACACGTGCACCAACCCATGAGTGAACAGATACACGTGCACCAACCACTGAGTGAACAGTATACACGTGCACCAACCCCTGAGTGAACAGTATACACGTGCACCAACCCCTGAGTGAACAGTATACATGCGCACCAACCCTTGAGTGAACAGTATACACGTGCACCAACCCCTGAGTGAACAGTATACATGCGCACCAACCCCTGAGTGTACAGTATACACGTGCACCAACCCCTGAGTGAACAGTATACATGCGCACCAACCCTTGAGTGAACAGTATACACGTGCACCAACCCCTGAGTGAACAGTATACACGTGCACCAACCCCTGAGTGAACAGTATACATGCGCACCAACCCTTGAGTGAACAGTATACACATGCACCAACCCCTGAGTGAACAGTATACACGTGCACCAACCCATGAGTGAACAGTATACACGTGCACCAACCCATGAGTGAACAGTATACACGTACACCAACTGCAACACACTCACCAACGTGCCCACCAACTGCAACACACTCACCATCGTGCCCACCAACTGCAACACACTCACCATCGTGCCCACCAACTGCAACACACTCACCAACTTCAACGCCCTCATGAACCATAAATAACAACTACTAAACGATAATGTTCTTTGCATAAGGAATGTAGTTCAAGAATAATCACAAAACACGTGGTTATTTGTGCATAAATATACCCATAGGAAAAATTAGATGACAACTCAACGCTTTTTCGTGTTTCAAGACAAGGAAACGCTTGGAATTTTAATTTAATTTTTCTTGTGCGGATACTTAAGGAAGGTGTGTAGTGCAGACGTACTAGTGCTAGTTGAGCAAGTCTTTACAGCATCAGGAAGGGCGCTCCATATTGCACTTCTTGTGTGACATTCATTGATTCTGCTACATCCATCTAGACAACTTTTAAATCGGTAGTAGTATCGGGGTATTATATATAGATTTATAAGTGTCAAGCTCATTAGAAAACGTATTAAGTATTTGTGTGGTCAGCATAGTTAAGAATTTGAACAGAGCTCTATGGTGTTTGAAGACAGAATTGAGTGTAGGCTTAACTGCTGATATAAGTCGGGTGATAATTGGCTTGAGGTAGTTTGTTGTGGTTGAGCCCCATATATTAATACCAGTAAGTGTGTTTAGAATTGTTTGTGAGATGTATTGTGTGAGAAGAGTGTCCATGAGCTGCTCAGGAAACATGTACATCATCTAACAACTACTCAGAAAACATTGCACACCATTGCTCACGAAACGTGAATTCTGTCAACCTAAATATTTAGGAACCATGCACACTATCCATATATTGGTCATAAAGTATACACATCAACCCCTTAGTGAACAGTATACACGTACACCAACCCCTGAGTGAACAGTATACACGCGCACCAACCCCTGAGTGAACAGTATACACGTACACCAACCCCTGAGTGAACAGTATACACGCGCACCAACCCCTGAGTGTACAGTACACACGTACACCAACCCCTGAGTGAACAGTATACACGTGCACCAACCCCTGAGTGAACAGTATACACGTACACCAACCCCTGAGTGAACAGTATACTCGTACACCAACCCCTGAGTGAACAGTATACACGTACACCAACCACTGAGTGAACAGTATACACGTACACCAACCCATGAGTGTACAGTATACACGTGCACCAACCCCTGAGTGAACAGTATACACGTGCACCAACCCCTGAGTGAACAGTATACACGTGCACCAACCCCTGAGTGAACAGTATACACGTACACCAACCCCTGAGTGAACAGTATACACGCGCACCAACCCCTGAGTGTACAGTACACACGTACACCAACCCCTGAGTGAACAGTATACACGTGCACCAACCCCTGAGTGAACAGTATACACGTACACCAACCCCTGAGTGAACAGTATACACGTACACCAACCCCTGAGTGAACAGTATACACGTACACCAACCCCTGAGTGAACAGTATACACGTGCACCAACCCCTGAGTGAACAGTATACACGTACACCAACCCCTGAGTGAACAGTATACACGTACACCAACCCCTGAGTGAACAGTATACACGTGCACCAACCCCTGAGTGAACAGTATACACGCGCACCAACCCCTGAGTGAACAGTATACACGTACACCAACCCCTGAGTGAACAGTATACACGTACACCAACCCATGAGTGTACAGTATACACGCGCACCAACCCCTGAGTGAACAGTATACACGTACACCAACCCCTGAGTGAACAGTATACACGTACACCAACCCCTGAGTGAACAGTATACACGTACACCAACCACTGAGTGAACAGTATACACGTACACCAACCCATGAGTGTACAGTATACACGTGCACCAACCCCTGAGTGAACAGTATACACGTGCACCAACCCCTGAGTGAACAGTATACACGTGCACCAACCCCTGAGTGAACAGTATACACGTACACCAACCCCTGAGTGAACAGTATACAAGTACACCAACCCCTGAGTGTACAGTATACACGTGCACCAACCCCTGAGTGAACAGTATACACGTACACCAACCCCTGAGTGAACAGTATACACGTACACCAACCACTGAGTGAACAGTATACACGTACACCAACCCCTGAGTGAACAGTATACACGTACACCAACCCCTGAGTGAACAGTATACACGTACACCAACCCCTGAGTGAACAGTATACACGTACACCAACCACTGAGTGAACAGTATACACGTGCACCAACCCCTGAGTGAACAGTATACACGTACACCAACCCCTGAGTGTACAGTATACACGTGCACCAACCCCTGAGTGAACAGTATACACGTACACCAACCCCTGAGTGAACAGTATACAAGTACACCAACCCCTGAGTGTACAGTATACACGTGCACCAACCCCTGAGTGAACAGTATACACGTACACCAACCCCTGAGTGAACAGTATACACGTACACCAACCACTGAGTGAACAGTATACACGTACACCAACCCCTGAGTGAACAGTATACACGTACACCAACCACTGAGTGAACAGTATACACGTACACCAACCACTGAGTAAACAGTATACATGTACACCAACCACTGAGTGAACAGTATACACGTACACCAACCACTGAGTGAACAGTATACACGTACACCAACCACTGAGTGAACAGTATACACGTACACCAACCCCTGAGTGAACAGTATACACGTACACCAACCCCTGAGTGAACAGTATACACGTACACCAACCACTGAGTGAACAGTATACACGTACACCAACCCATGAGTGTACAGTATACACGTGCACCAACCCCTGAGTGAACAGTATACACGTGCACCAACCCCTGAGTGAACAGTATACAAGTACACCAACCCCTGAGTGTACAGTATACACGTGCACCAACCCCTGAGTGAACAGTATACACGTACACCAACCACTGAGTGTACAGTACACACGCACCAACCACTGAGTGTACAGTACACACGCACCAACCACTGAGTATACAGTACACACGCACCAACCACTGAGTGAACAGTATACACGTACACCAACCACTGAGTGAACAGTATACACGTACACCAACCACTGAGTGAACAGTATACACGTACACCAACCACTGAGTGAACAGTATACATGTACACCAACCACTGAGTGAACAGTATACACGTACACCAACCACTGAGTGAACAGTATACACGTACACCAACCACTGAGTATACAGTATACACGTACACCAACCACTGAGTGTACAGTATACACGTACACCAACCACTGAGTGTACAGTACACACGCGCACCAACCACTGAGTGTACAGTATACACGCACCAACCACTGAGTGTACAGTATACACACGCACCAACCACTGAGTGTACAGTATACACGCGCACCAACCACTGAGTGTACAGTACACACGCACCAACCACTGAATGTACAGTATACACACGCACCAACCCCTGAGTGTACAGTACACACGCACCAACCACTGAGTTTACAGTATACACGCGCACCAACCACTGAGTGTACAGTACACACGCACCAACCACTGAATGTACAGTATACACATGCACCAACCACTGAGTGTACAGTACACACGCACCAACCACTGAATGTACAGTATACACGCGCACCAACCACTGAGTGTACAGTACACACGCACCAACCACTGAATGTACAGTATACACGCGCACCAACCACTGAGTGTACAGTACACACGCACCAACCACTGAATGTACAGTATACACACGCACCAACCACTGAGTGTACAGTACACACGCACCAACCACTGAGTGTACAGTACACACGCACCAACCAATGAGTGTACAGTACACACACGCACCAACCCCTAAGTGTACAGTACACACGCACCATCCATCACCTGCCAATGAAATATGTGTTGCTCACGAAACCTGCACAACATTCATCAACCGCTCAGCAAACACCTACTGCTTACGTAACGACTCACCTTCATCATTTGTTTATGATGATGATTCATCAGACGCAAATGATGAATCAATTGCTTCATGGTGAGCATCATGAAGCAAAGTAGCCAGCAGCTCAAGCATGCCGCTCAACAGCTTCTGAGGAAACTTTCACTGCTAGGAAACCAACGATACAGTTGTCAGTTTTCAAGTAAAAATACGATTGTTGCAGTGT